CTTTTTAATTTTGAAATTTCTTCTATTAATTCTTCTTTCTCTTGTGTAGAGACTTCGATAGCATTATTTAACTCTTCTTCAAGAAATCGTATTCTCTCTTTCCGTATTCCAATAACTCTTTCTAAGGTATATAAAAGTTGTTTGAAATTCCTATTTGATTCTGCTAATTGAGATACTACTTCATGGAGTTCTTGATTACTTTGCTGTAATTTCTTTATGTTTTTTTACTATAGTATAATGGAAAAACTTTTGATTTATATTGATCCACAAAAAGCCTATGAACTTGATCAAGAAATCGCTAAAAGTAAAAAAGTTAAAGATCGAAATTTGACATTACAAAAACCTACGATTCTTATTGATTTCCAAAAAGCATATGATCTTGACCGACATCTTGCCTTACAGAAGCTGTATTATTAGCCCGAGGGTCTCTATCAAAATATTAAGCGATTGTAGGATGCTTGTAAGAAAGCTGGCTACAACTTTCTATTTAATGATATAAAAAAATAGCTTGATGGCCAAGCAATATATCAAATTTTTCGTCCTTCACCAAAGAATATACCTTATGCCAGTTACTCTAAAATTACAAAACCGAATTCTGTACACCAGTGTGATTTAATTGAAATACCATATGATGAAGATGTAGATACAGGTTTGTTGAATAATGGCCCAATATTTTACTATGTACTATTGGTTATAGACTGCGCGACTAGATATAAAGATTTCATTTTTTTAACATCAAAAAATAGTGAAAAAGTCGCGGAAGCATTTAAGAGTATATATGATAATCCTGACAATCCTCTTAACTGGGCTCGGCTATTGCAATGTGACCAAGGTCGTGAGTTCATGGGAAGCGTAACATTGATAATGGATGAACACAATGTTAACATCCGAAGAACTAAAGCACATTTCAGGCATACAAGCTTGGCTATAGTTAATCATTATGCCAGATTATTCGAATTAAGGGTTTTTAAAAATCAATATGTGATAGAGTTTCTCTTACCTACTGGTGAATGCTGTAAAGAATGCGAACGATTTGCAAGAAGAATTGTTAATAACATGAATGATACTCCTACTCGGTTAATTGGAATAGTCCCAATGATGCCACAAAACTTGAGCAAGTGTATTCCAAACCATCGGTAAAATATAATCGTCCAATAGGTGTTGATAAACCGTGACTATCAAAGGGTACTACTATCCGATTTTTGCTTGCTCCTGGAGAATGGGAAAATGATCATTTCGAACAACACAGAATCACAAATCCAATATGGTCTTCCAGCTTACATAAAACCGAAGAATTGTTGGAAAAAATCCTCTCATGCCCATTTTATATTATTTAGATGAATTGGGATCTCGGTGTCTCTTTGTAAGAGAACAATTAATACATATTAAGGAAGAGCCTATGTTGCCTCCTAGGTGGATATTGAGAGATAACTGAATACATATAAGGCGCTCTTTATAAATGTTTCTAAGTCTACTACGCAGTAGGGAGAATCACTCCTTCCTTGTAGCATAATGCTCTCTTTTCCCAATCACGACAAATTTGTGCATCTAGATTCATCTGCCTTTGCGAGTGAAAAAAAGGTACGATTTGATAATACTGATTACCACTATATTTGAAGGCCAAGCCTAGCTCCTCATTATACCCATCTAGATGTAATCCTTTTAAGAATTTAGGTTTTCGAAGAGGAAATTTTTTATGTAATAAATCCTCAAATATATACCGGCATGTTCTTTCTGGTACATTAGGGCAAATATTACACCATCAGTAATTCTGTTTCATATTTTTATATGATGCCTCCCATTGATGTTTTTTTTACATGCCCATAAATATGTATTAGGACTAACTTTAGCTAAGCATCTTCCTTCACACTTTTGGGTATATGCCAAAGCTTTAGTATCAATTTTGTCTTGCATTTTATAGATACAATAGAATATCACGTACAGAAATTTGCAAAATAGGCCGTTTTTTCTCGCAAGCTCGAAAAAACAAAAAAAAGTAAAAATGACTAGATATTTTTTTTCCAAATTATTTTTTTTTCGAATGAAATGAAAAAAAAGGAAAAATGCCAAATTTAACTCGGCTACTACTCTCAATGATCCTCTGCTCAAGTATACATCCTTTATTTTTTCTAACTCCGATATATCAAAATATCTAGAATGTTTATTGTAAAGTTTTTATATATTTTTTAAGCCATTTTTTTGCCTCGTTCTGGGAATAGATATCAATCTGCTTCTCTTTTTCATCTGAATCTTTAAGTTGTGTGATTTTATGTGAAGAAGGTAGTTGATATTTTTCATCCTCATTGATAAATCGTACACACATTCCAACCATAGTGCCTAAATAATAATTGATATCTATTTCCATGATTCACTCTTTTGCTATATCCGTGTACTTCATATAATCTCCAACTCTGTGTGGTACCTTTCTACCCTGTTCATTATAGAGGGGCGGGCCTTTGATAACTATGTAGCTAAACCGTTTACCAGGATCAGGCATCCTCTCATTTCTCTTTTTCATATATCCCATAAAGCAATTGTTGCAGAGATTTTTTTTCTTAGGCTTCTATGTACCCATTACTATAAATTCATTGAAATTCTATTCCTTGTTCTGTGCTTCTCTAAGAGTATCTTCAACAATTTTGTAAATTGAGCGTGTATTATTTATATCCATAGCCTCTCTTATAATCCTTTCTCCAATGAATTTGAGAAGCTGGGATTTACCTTGCTTTACGCTATCTATCCCTTTCATGAAAAGGTTTTTTGGTTTAAAGTTTACTTCATCTTTATGTCTAATTCCAAAATACTTCTTTTTGCCAGTAAAGCAAATGGGAAATAATACCTCTTTATATGTCATATTTAGATAAGAGGTTCCACTTTTTATCCTAAGATAGACATTTATTTGATTGTACAACTTTTCCATCATAACTATAGTAATTTTGACCATTTCAGCCCAGTACGCTTCTTTGGAAAGTTCTTTTCTAGAGAAGGTCTCATCATATTTATTGTAATACCTATCTGGGCAGGTAAGATACAAAGAATAGTATCACCTTATTTTATCCCAAACTCTTTATTTGTTACGAATTCTGCCACAAGATTAAGGTTGTATTTTCCTGCTGAAGTAGTTCCTCCAGCTAATGCACAAAGAAAGATTGGAGATTTTGAGTTTCCGGCCTCCCTATAGAAAGTATTCATATATACCTTCAGAGCTTTTTGCTTCGAATCAAAATAATCGTAATCAAAGCATACAGATAAATATTCTAAATTTAAACTCTCTGGAATCCTTTTGCCTCTTTTTTTAGCTGAACTTATCATCTTCCCAAGTCGTTCCTTCTTCTTTCCTAATGAGGCAAGATGTGCTTTAAGCTCTACTCTCTTGTTGAATAAATCCTCTAATACAACAGGATGTAAACCCTTCTTTTCGAATTGATTATCATGCCTTACACTTCAAGCTTGGATGGTGCAGTTATTAAATGGAAACTCAATCTTATGCAACTTGCTTCTATTATTTTGCACAATATCAGCCTCTCTATGTGTTAGTATTATTTTATCTGGAGAGAAATTATAAGCTATGATGAGACTGGGATATAATGAAGCAAAATCTAATCCCGTTACAGGTCTTCTCGTTTCAATCCCTTTTTTAGATGAAAATACGTACGTGCCAGGATACTTACCCTTTTCTGTGTTTTCAGGTATTCTTGTGCTAATTACTATATCTCGTTTAAAAGCATAAGCACCCAGAAGGTTTCGTACCTTCATTCCATTCGCACGGTAGTGTGAGTCGAATAAAGATACATAAGCTATTGAAGCGATTTCTCTTTAATCATTTATTTGACTTAGCTTGACCAAAAGCTCTTGACAGCGTAGTGCATCTATAATACAGTAATGTGCTACTTCACGCATATTTCTCGCAGTTGACAAGGAGGAGCTTTTTTTCGCTTCTGAATAAATTTTCCACATTTTATCATATAGCATGTCGGCCTTAGTTTTAAAACTGCATTTTTCTAAAAAGAATTTAAGTGAGCCTTCCTTTTCGACTTCAGAACGAGAGAAACGTCTTTTGAGGCACACCTGGGCATTAATTGATATGCAATCTGGCAGTTTAAGGAAGCTAGAAGTAAAATCCTCTTCTGCACTAATTTTGATTTTAATTAGACTGTCCATATATTCTTTCTTCTCTGGATCCTCCTCTCCTTTCTCAGGAGGCTTAATAGCATTCTTTGCTTTAAAAACATTTTCAAATTTCGCTTCTATCTTTCCGCGATATTTCCATTTTAGGATTTCTTCTTTTGTTTCAAACTTTCCTGTCATTCGCTCCCATATCCATTCGAGTATATCGAGTTGATATGCTCTTTCCATAATAAAACACCAATTATAGTTAGAATAATTAAACCCAGCTTGGATATCAGGTGCAAATGCTTGCCAACAGAGGGCAAATGCTTTCAGCAAATTTTCTTGGTTTCCACAAATGATTGTAGTCCAGCATGGATCTGGTTCTGTCTCAACATCGACAAGACATATTTGCTTTAGTGGTTTTGGATCATCTTTCCAATGCAATATCATACAAATCATAAAAACATTATGATTCAGATCAAGGACTTTGGGAAATTCACTCAACTCTTGTGATTGCATCTCTATATCCCACGTGAGGACAAGAGTACGATCGCGTAAGAGAGCTGTAATAGAGAATCGATCACTTATTGTTGTAAAACCATTTAGCGGACAGAAATCTTTTATAGACACATAGAATTCATTCAGACAGTGCGGGCTGGTCCATTTGCCTTTTTTGCATATATATTTGTTTATTGTAGACAACTCAGAAAGTTGGATTCCGTTTTCTCAAGCCACCTTTCGGTGGAATGAATATAAATCATCTGAAGCAGTTTCGAAATTATTATCTTGAACAGCTTTGATGGCTCTCTTTCTCTCTCCAGTACCATTTGTATAAATTCGTAAATATGGTTTTTTTCGGTATAGTATCCGCGGAAAGGAAATGCTTTAATATGCTCCATTTTAAATGATTTCATAATACCAGAGAGAATTTTGCTCACCTTTTCTTTGCATTCATCTGGAGTTTCTCCATCTGGTACGCGAATGTCAAAGAAAATCTGAATGCCTATAAGAGTTACCAGTGCCTTTTGGCCATTAATAAGGCGACCATAAAGATGCAATACATAGTGATAAGTTCCATTTATCTTTTCTGTTAACCCTTCATTCTCAATAGCCATAAATGGAATATCACGATAATTTGCTATTTCATTTTCAAGAATTGCAGACAATCCCTCATCACCATTTTCTCTAACTATTTCATCTAGAGTTGGAAAATTCGTCAAGTACTTTTTGCCAGAATAGCGAATCAGTTGGGCTTCTATTTTATCTTTTCCAGCCTCTGGCTAGAAAAGGGCGAGGCCGTCCAAATTCTCTAAAAGCTCGGATTAGGTCATTTTTTATCAAGCAATTTAAGGTAATTTATAGTTATACCAAATCTCAAGGTATATTATTCGTAAGAAAAAAGTTTAAAATAAAATTAATTCCTCAAGA